CTCGTGGGGGTCACTGGTGGGCATATCCAGCAGTCACTGTGCGAGAGGCGGGGTACACCCTGGACAGGTCTCCAGTCATCACTGGGACACATGAGACAAACGAGACCAACAACCATTCACTCTCTCACTCACACCTAGAGACAATTTAGTTACCAATCAGCCTAACATGCATGTTTTTGGTCTGTGGGAGGAAACTAGAGTACCCGGAGAAAACCTACACATGCACAGAGAGAACATGCAAACTCCACCCAAAAAGGACAATTGAGGACACCAATATTTTGACAGTAAAGCTGAGCTCACCCATGATCATAGTTTTCCACTTTATTGATCTATTCAAATAAACTGCAATGACTGAAACACAGGCTGGAAAGCTCTTAGTTTTTCTTTTCTTTATTTTTAGGAAGAGGTGTGAGCTGTTCGTGCTTTTTCGAAAAAATCGCACAGACAGGAAAAGCACCATTAAGAAAAACAGCTTTGTGTTTCACTACCAGGTGCTATTGTTAAAGAGTAAATGAGGAAACAAATAAATGCTGTGATGGTTGTCTGGATTCTTCAAATTTGCCATTTTAAATAGACTACAAATATTCTACTATCACTGCCCTTAACTAGATATTAGGAATGTTAATTAATCATGTTGACAACAGCCATTGTCTTTATTTATTTTTTTATTCAACATTTATTTATACAGGTTAGTTCCCATTGAGCCTCGAGGATTCATTTACAAGAGAGACCTGTATAGAATTAAACCTTTTTTCATAGTTGTATATGAATGTGTGGTTCATGGGGCGTTTACCTTCGGGACAAATTGAGTTCACTGATTGGTCATTTGCTGACACGCCTACTGGACTGATTGACAGGTCGGAAAAAAACAAAAACGAGCGCTGACAGCCTCCGCCGCAGCGGTGTTCTGTGTTTATATGTTGTTAATAAAAAGTTCTACAAGTCAAAAAAAAAAAAACAGAGCGCTGGCTCTGCAGCCCACACATCAGACCAGCCCACCAGGAAATCTCCAGACCTTCCCGCAGCCACGCTAGACCTGAGTTTAATTCGCTCGTGACAAATTATTTCATTTCTCACCATTTCAGTCATGGCATCAACGGAGGAGGAAGAGATCTCTTGCCTCTTGGCAAAAAAACAAAAGAAAAGGCCAGATCAGGGATGAAGAAGGGGAATTTAATACATTGGTGTTGCATACAAAATAGTCCGTCGCTGGGCAGTTTATTGTGCGACACTGCGTACGTGTATGTGGTCATAAAAATAGAGCTTTGCACGGACATGCACTGGGGGTACACTCATACCTCCGTGTACGTATGTGCGTACCTCTGCGTATGGACGTACGCGGGAGTATACTGGGGGTTTGAGCAGAGAAAACAGGAGGGGACTCAACATACAGCCCTTAGGGGATCCAGTGCTGAGGGTTATGGTGGAGGAGGAGAAGTTATGGATCCTCACAAACTGTGGTCTGTTGGTTAAGAAATCCAGAACCCAGTTGCAAATGGAGGGGCTTAGTCCTAGTGTGAGTAGTTTGTCCATCAGGTTCTGGGGACTCATGGTGTTGAAGGCAGATCAGTCCACAAAGAGCATACAGACGTAGGAGTCCTTCTGCTCCAGGTGTGTGAGAGCAGTGTGGACCATAGAGGAGATGGCGTCCTCTGTTGATCGATTCTTGCAGAATGCATACTGGTGAGGGTCCTCGCTGATGTCAATGGTAGCTTTGATGTGGGCCATGACCAGCCTTTCAAAAAGATTGGTCTCAAAAAGCCTATTTAAAAAGGTTTGTACTACTTAAAGGCCCAGTTTACATGTGATCAATTTCCTTCAAACGCTATAGATTTTTTTATTGTTGGTTATAAAAACATTACACGTTCACACGTTAATACTGCGATTGCAATCACTTTTTAAAAAAGACTGCAAAGAACGCTGATCAAGCTGTAGTTTCCATGCCAGGTTACTATCTGGCACTTTGTTTTTGTATCTCAACACACACAGACACACAAACTTCAGTCTCAGTCTTGAGATCAGTACATTCAAGATTACAAACACAGAAAACATTTGAACAAAGCTCTAATAATGTTAGCGTGAGAAGCATAAACAGCACTCTGCTACCCACCTTTTTTTTACTGTTGATCTAGTCACGCATCTGCAGAATAACTTTTGATTGATTTCACGCATATGCAAACTCTTCTACTTTCATGTAAATTGAATTTTCCTATGAAACAATGATGGAAGTTTGGAAATTTCCACTGTGTGACCAGCATTTAAAAAGTTTTTTTTTATGTCAGAGCATCTGATTGCTGTTGTCTTGTAGACAAGTGGAGTATTATGATGTCATCCATAAAACAGTGTTGTGTAAACTGTCTGTAAAAGAAATAGTAGAGATCAATTTGCACTTGTTTAAATTGCTAATTACAATATGTAGTGATATCTGCTAATGTCCAACTAGCTTTTTCTGGTGATTATAGCAGCCAGCTTGGCTGTAACCCCCAATAACATAGCAGCTCATCCTTAAAGCAAACTACACTTGACTAAAGTAGTGATTTGTCATTTGAAATGAGAAATACTGAAATGAATGTATGCTGCGAATCATTCTACACCAAGTGTGTGTTGCTGATAATGATGAGATAACTCCAACACTTTTTGTTTTCCTCTTTTTCCCTCATCGAGTCTGGCTCTTCTTGCCCTCTTCCTGCCATACTTCAGTGCCTTTCGTATTATTGTGCTTTTGTTTCAGCACACTTATTTCTTGCCCCGCTTCCCCCTGCTCATTTTGCTCAGAAAAGAGAGAGGGAGGGGAACAAAGACAGCAAGAGAAGGAGACAGACGCCACTTTAGATGTTGGTATTACTTGTGGTTTGTTACCCTTCTCTGATTCATAGCTGCATCCTCCCACTGCTGTTTAAAAGGGGAGGTTGCAGTGTGCACATCATAATTGGATGTGTAATCCCTTCCTTTGCACCTCTGGTGAGTCTTGCAAGCAGAGCAGTGAGTGTTAGGAAGACAATAAAAATTTAACAGGTCCCTCTTTGTTGTTTGCATGCTCAAACAACAGAGTAAGCCTAAAACGTCAGACCGAACAATCTGTACAAATGCTACAAAACACAATTATCAGCTCAGTTTTAAACCTGATAAAAAGTGAAGACAGAGATAAAACGTTTGACTTTGCTTCTTTGGATAAAAAGGCAAAATGCTTTTTCATGTTGACAGCAGACAAGGGTGAAGATGAAGAGTTCAACTCTTTTTCTTTAACTCGGACATAATTTGTTACGCAACACAGTTCACCCCCTGAACAAGGGCGTGGCACTGGAGTGTCTGTCAGTCCGAACAGTCAGCCCATCAGGTGGATTGACTTCTTATCTGAAGTGCAACGCCTCGGTTGACCACTTCCACCTCGCACTCTTTCCTCACAGAACCCGAGGGGTTGTAATTTAACTAATAAAGGCTCTTTGCATGTTTACTGGAGCAGAGGTGTACATTGGATTGTGCAGAAGAATAACAAGAAATGAAAGAAAGCAAAATTAATGTAATAAACAGCTCCTTCCTCCTTGTTTTTGTTTTTTTTGTTAGCGTTGCTTCAATGTGTCGGGACAGCAGGAAGGAGAGTTGCAAGGGAAACAGTTAATCAATAGCCACAAAGTCAGACGGCCAGCGGCAGGCTGGAGTGTGCCCTGTTAGCGCCTTGTGGAGCTGCCTAGCTGCTGAATGGGATTTGTAGCACTTGTCAAGGCTTAAAGGAGCCCTTTCTGGACCACTTGTTCTAGGAGGAATGTGTGAAAGTGACAAGTTAGTATGCAGCAGGAGAGGGAGACATCTGCTGGATGTTAGGAAACATACCAGCGCAGGAAAATTAGGCCATCTGCAGTTACGGACCTGCAAATTAAGCACAGTTTAGTCTGGCACCATGCCCTGCTATATACAAATGTGGCCATTTTATTTTTGGTACTATTTAGTGCAAGACACCTCTCTATATGTATAAGCTGATAAGTGGTTGACAACATTTACTTGAGAATTCCTCTTTATTCGTGCACACGGTGTGTTGGCTCGTGTTTAAGGCTTTAAGTGCACTCCAGGTAATTCTACTCCAGTGATGCTTAAAGCTGAGAGGATTAGTAATACAGCCTAATTTTCAAAGTGTTCCTTTGAAGTTTTTCTTTTTTGTTTCTTTTTATCAAGGTAAAGAATTCAAGCTTTTAAATTTACATGCTCTTTAATGTATGCACGTGTTAAAAGAAAAAGACAGCTTGTGCATACATACAGCTCTGACTCAAAGATAAGCACACCAGACTTGACGACTATGTGCAGAGCTTCTGTCTTTTTATAAAAACTGTCTCTCTCAGTGGGGAATCTTGGGGGACCCTTTATCAGCTTTGAGCAGCTTTCTAGAGCCCTGTCTCCCCCCCACCACCACCACCTGTGGTTCCTGAGTTGGCCTTTTGTGTGGAGGAATGTGGGATGGACCAAGGCTGGTGGAGATAAACTGATGGAGGCCTTGTTGGCGAAACCAGCCCAATATCTATTAACCCAGACTGAATCTATCTGTGAGATGTTGTCAGCGTGAAGCTGAGATTGTTCATGTTGCCGCTTGATCTGAACAAAATATGCACAGACAGAAAGTGATTATGAATCCAAACTTTATCTTTTCCTTTTAAATGTTGGCACAAAGTTATTGTGTTTATCAGTTTGATAACCTTGACTGTGACATGTGCTTCATTTGAGTGGAGATAACAGCTGTCCTTTCTCTGCTGCAGTGAGATTTTGCTTCCTCCGGCAGCAAAAAGCAGCAAACTTTTCTCCGTTTCATTATGTTGCCGTTTGCCATTAGCGGTGCAACGGTGGTACGTCTCACCATCTTGCCAAAAAATATGTGCTTAAGGCACGTTAAGCTCTTCAGAGAGTCGGTTCATAAACAAGCTCGCTTCTGTATTCGAAATGCTCGAATGCTGGTTGAGATTTACAGACCAGACAGTTCTGAATGATTTACACCTTCTCTCTTTTTCTTCCAGAGTACAACAAAAACTTTTAATGGAGTTCCGGTAGAAGCGTCAAGATGAACACGTTACCATCAATGGACCGGCACATCCAGCAGACCAACGACAGGCTGCAGTGCATCAAACAGGTGAGCACAAACTCCCTCTGTTTTAGCTTAATTTTTCTGCAGCATAAACATGGATTTAAGATATAAACGCTTTCCTGCATTACATTTCCTTCCTTTCAGCACCATATATGGGCATGAGTTTGTCTGACCATCAGCTGCAGTTGCACAGATCATGTTGCACAGAGTCGCAGAGGGAGGCAAACTGGCAGTGAGCGCGAGTGTAGACTTCAAAGCAGCAAAACAAACGGAGTCTTCTTCCCCTGCAACCTTCGTCATGCAATCCCTGACATCATCTTTCTGACTCTTGACATTTACCAGCCCTTGTTAGGTTTTGCTGAATTTCTTCCTGGACTGTCAGCTTCACGTATAGACAGACAGACAGACTTAACCCAGGGCTACCGCCTCTGCTTGTGATTAATAGTCTGTAGAACTCATAGACTGCTTGACTAGCTGGCTGGCTGTTGGCATATTTGTTTATGATATGTGGGCGTGATCCTTTATATCTCCCAACATCCATGTGACACCATGCCTTTGAATAAATTAGCAAGTGATGAAGCTTTCAGCTCTGGCTTATGATGTGATGCATCCCTTTTCTGTTTCCACTGTTCCCACCTAAATTCCACCATAATAACCTCTTTTCATAACAGATTCTCATCACCTCAGCTCATTTACTTTTAGTAAAATCATCTATTCAAATCTTAAAAAAAATATATATATATATTTTGCTGCCAGTCTTTCTCAAATTGATAAACGGTGTTGATGCAACCTTGTTATTTTATGTTCTTTTGGTGGCAGCTCTATTTAGGTGCGTATAAAAAGTCTAGCTTAATACATGTTTTGATTGCAGTTTGTCTCCTCCTGAGCTTTAGATTTTAAAGAAGCCATTGTAAAGCAGACTTCAAAGAGACTCTGTAAGTCAGTGGAGCTCAGCGCTTGTTGCGACTCCTTCAGACTGATGTTGTTTTGGTTCAGGGAAAGCCGCTGGCAGAGAGCCAAATGTTGTGCAGTTTGTTGGTTTTTTAGATGTTGGGCACCCAAATCTGGGGCTGGCTTGGAAAGGAGGGAAATCATCTTATAGAAGACAGTTTAGTTGATTGTCTGTTTCTGACCAACAGCAGCAACAACAGGAGCCACGCAGGATGCATCCTCACACTGACTCGAGGAGCAGGAGGAGATGGGAGTTCAGATCTGGACTGACTGCACTGCGTCTGATTCTTCTTGCGCTAGAGGCTAATAACTCCTTTCCCCCATCAAGCAGCAAAAAATGCCAGATCATATCACTCATCTAGAACAGGCTCTCCTCCTTCCGCTTACTCAACGAGAGCATCTCTCACTTTTTCCTCATTCTCAGTGCCTTTCTTTTTATCACTTAGAAGTCTTTGGGAGATCATAACCAACTCTATAATACATTCTCGCCACAAATTATGAGTCTTGAAGCCCATGATATTGCCTCTTGAATAATTTTTTTCTGAACAGCTGTTCTTTGTGGTTGCACATCGTCGAAACATGCATCCTTTCAAAAAGTAATGCTCACCTCTGTTGCCCTCTTAAAGACAATAATTTGACCCCCCTCTGCAGGAAAACACAAAGCAAGATACCTCAGCTCTATATAGGAAGAATACATGTTTTTTTCAAGTGGGCTCAATCTCACTGAGAGAGCAAACCGCAGCTCTGTGCCATCTCAGAGCTATTAACCTCATAGGAGTGAAGAAAGGAAGCTCACTTTAAAAACCGCTTATTGTGTCCTGCCAGCCTCGGTAGTCCTCAAACACTGGGAAGAAAAGACTCAACTGTTTCAGGCCTCAGCGAACAAGCAAGAGAAACAGACAGAGACTGAAAGAGATTAGACAACACACCAACGGCTCTTACTGAGTCCGCTCACATAGCTGCCAGGACCAAGGTTGTTTTCTTTGTGTGCAGCCAAGTCAGCCAGCGGACCTCTGGTGCCGAGGCTCTGTAACGCCGTGAATGAGGAGCGAGAGAAAAGATTGGAGGGGAACGATTTGGTTAGCTGTGTTGGGTCACGGAGGCGAGGGATGGGTGTTGCCAAGAGAGATTAACCAGAAACACAGGCATCATTGTTAATATGGGTGTGATCTTCTTCCCACAATGCAGCAGAACCCTGAGTGGGCGTACATCGGAAAAAGTCGAGGTCCTCACAGGGTTGGGCAGAAAGACAAGGCATTAAATCAAGGCAGTTTGGAAGGAGAACGCAAGGCTGCAAAACAATTCGGTTTCAACGTTTTTCCAATTTGTACTAAAAGTGAGGAAAAAAACACACATTGTTTCTAAAGGCGGGCTCCTCTCTGTCTGTTTGCACAGCACTTACAGAACCCGGCCAACTTCCACTCAGCTGCCACGGAGCTGCTCGACTGGTGCGGAGATCCCCGGGCCTTCCAGCGACCTTTCGAGCAAAGTCTCATGGGATGTCTGACGGTATGCAAACACTAATTATGGTTTTGGTCAAGTTTTTTTTCCAGGTACTTTTTAGGAGATGAGAGCAAAACAATAATTAGATTGTGCATACTTAAAAAAAATAGTGTGTCCACTTTTTTAAAGGGGGGAAAAAAGTATAATAGGTAAAATTTTATTTCCCTACAAAATAAATCAGCGAGGTTGATTTGTTACTGCCTTCAAGCAAAGAATTAAACATTTTACTTGTTTACCACTAATATCCGTCTTTGAAAACTTGTAAGGGCATTGTTACCAGCTCACGTGAACAAACAGATAAATACTCGTTAATGAATGGATCACAATAAAAGCTTCTTAAAGGGTGATAAAGAGCTATACAATGGAGCCCACCGCTGAGCTCCGGCTCAGCATGGGGTTCTCTCTCCATCAGCTAAATTGTTTCATTAGACTCAGAGCAAACTGCTGCTTATCTGGTAAATTACTGCACGTAACAAGTGTGCACATTCTTTTAAGGCTTTTACTTTGAGAATAATTTAGATTTGAAAATGGCAGGTCATCCTGTTAACCAAAATGGCTTCAAAGGCAATAAAAATGTAGAACATCTTAAATTGTTTTTGTATTTTTGTGTGGCCACTTTAAAAAGCTTGTAAATTTAAACTAGAAAACAGTTTTTTTCCCCCTCCACATCAAATAGCTAAACAAAAATACGAGTGGCCCACTAACCTTCCTGTAACACTGTTTTCATATTGACAGGAATATGGGCCTGGATGTACATCCTCAGAGGGAGATTAGGCTGAAAAAGGCTTATGAGGTGAAACACTGTTAAATCCATGTTAAATCTATGCTAGCCCTTGTAGCTGGCTGCCTGCCTTGTTCAAACTCTGGGCCCGACTCGCTCACTCACGCAGCAAATTGAACGATTGACAGCAACACGGTTTGACCGCTTTTCAGGATAGTTTGCATAATAAGGTTTGGCTGAATAGATTATATTTTACATGCTGATAGCTCCTAAAGCAGCTCCAGATGAATGTAATCCGACTGCCCAAGAAGTATAAATTATTTATTTTCATCTCACATCTGGTCTAATAAATCCAGTTATTGACATGAGTTAAAAATTCAGTGGTAAAGCTATCATTTTATCTTTATTAAGATTAGAGGTGCACAATATTGGATTTTTGACCGATAACCGATATCAATACCGATATATTTTTTCCTAGACCTACTTGCACAGACTACATAGCTTTCGCTGCTGTGGAATTAAAATACTACATTTTTCTTTTTCATTCAACCTTTATTTATACAGGTAGGGCTGGACAATAATTCGATATCGATATATGTCGCAATATACTTTTATTCAATAACGGTGATATGAGTTTTAAGCACAGTTTCGATATTTTGATATGATTATAGCATTTCACTGACGCATTTCTTTTTCTGTTCGGGTTGAGGCGGCCACTTCAGTTTCAACCCGGACAGAAAAAGGTGCAACACAATTACTGAAGTGCGTGGTGACGTAGATGTTACGCAGAGCTCGAGTCCAAAAGGCGTTAGTGGTAGCAGGCTATGCTAATCTCCAACGCACGTTAAGTTTTCACTTCAAAATGAGTGCCCATGACCGTCAGAATGTGACTGAACAAGCTTTCACAAGTGAAGAGAAAGCAGATGACATAATTGATAAGAGAGGAAAGACTAATTCGGCGGTGTGGAAGTGGTTCGGTTATCTACGATCCAATAAACTGCAGGTTTCAGTGTGCTGCAAAATGTGACAGAGAGTCGTTCCAACTAGCGGTGGGAACACATCTAACTTGTTTCGCCATCTGAAATTTCCACTCGATACAATATGCTGAGTCAGAAGATGAAGCACAATAAAAGTTTGAGCTAACATGTCCCTAAAACAACACCCCCAGCTGTATCAAAAGAGAAACCCCTGCAACAAACGCAGACGTTTGCTGCATGGGTTGTTAGGTTATGTTGTTGTTTAAAGTTAAAACTATTAATATTGACAAAGTTGAGAGTTTTATGTTTATTTGACGGTGATTTCAAAATTGTTTGAAGGTTAAATACAAATAAAAGGTGAACATTAATTTATTTGTACAGTTTTTCTGAGTCTTTTACATTGTTTGTATCAATATCAAATTATATCGTTATCGACTGAAATTAAAAAATATATTGTAATAAAAGTTTTGGCCATATCGTCCAGCCCTATATACAGGTGAGAGGCGATAATGTTTTTGTCTGTGTGTGCTTGCTTGCCTGTAAAATACCTCATAAACCAGTGGTGGATTTTGATGAAGCTCTTAGAATTTGGATGTTGATCTACACCTCTGTCCACCACAGTCAGCAGAACTAAGACAACAAAAATGGATAAAACCCAGTAAATTGTGCAGACATTGATCTAATATTTGGTGTGGCAGTAGCTGAGTGTCATTCACAACACAAACTCTGAGCTGTACACATTATGCAACATCTTTGTTTAAAACTTTAGCATTAACAGTTAGCGTCAATATTTTCTGTCTTTTAACGAAATATCTCATGAATCACTGAAGAGATTTCAGTGAAACTATTGGAAATTTATCACTAGCTGTACATCTTAAACTGAATAACATTTGGAGTCAACCTTAATAAAGATGGCCTCCACAGCTAATTGACCTTAGCTAACAGAAAAATGGCTGTAACTATGTCAGCTTTACAGAAATTGAGCTAAATCCTCATCTTAATTTCTTTGGGTGTTTGAACTTTCAACCTTTTTACCGTGTGACCCACTCTTTATTTTGTGGAGCTAGAAGGGACTTGTTTTGATTTTTACCTTCCAGAAACTCTCCTGTAACTTTGTGCAGGGTGACTGTGGTTTTGGCTCTGTCACTTCTCTTGGAAGAGGATGCAGTCATTAGATCTGTCCTAACTACGGACCACAGTACCAATTCAGAATACAGGCTCCATATTATTCTCAGTTTATCTTTGTATGCATGTATACGTTCACATTATTTGTGTCTCTGAAGGAAAAAGTGAAGGTAAGTGCATCTTAAGAGCATGGAATTGTGGATTTACAACTGTTATCATTAAAAATTATGTAGAAGGATGCAGTTTATTCAGTTTACAATAAATTAAAGAGCAGCGGTTATATTCGTAATTTATTACTTTCTGCAGGTGGTGAGTCGTGTTGCTGCTCAGCAGGGGTTTGACTTGGACTTGGGCTACAGGTTGCTCGCCGTGTGTGCTGCCAACCGGGACAAATTCACTCCCAAGTCTGCAGGTAAGACCTTTCACCTGAACAAAGTGCAAGCAAATGCATGCTCATCAATCATGCCATCTGCTAGTGTTGACTTGTAAAGCAGTAACACAAATTCTCTCTCATAAAAACATCCTAAAGTCACAGATAATTTACAGGATAATACAAATTTAGTGCGTGGACTGATATACTTTGCCCTGTTAGGTGCTTAAATGCAAATAAAAGTGCATGCTAAAGTCATCATAAATCTGAAATTAGAAGTGTTTGATTTTCTAATAACAACTGCAATCGCAGACAATTCACAAAAAGTCCAGAGTGTATTATAATGTCAAGAAATGTTTAGCTCCCATTAAACATTAATGCGTCATTGAGATGAGCTGTCTGAGAGGTTGCCTCAGAAAAACAGTCTACTCGACAGTCTTTCCACACAAACCCACATTTACAGCCTGTGCAGCTGCAGCCCTACCTGTGTGTGCATGTGTGTGTGCGTGCGTGCGACTCACACACCCTCGTAGCAGAGAAGAGAAAGCAGTAATGCTATCCTCAGACATTTATCTATCAAATCCAATTTCCTCCGATCTATACCTCCCCTCCCAACCTCCCACAGTCCTGCAGGAGTAGCCTGTTCTGGTGCATTTGTCAAAGTGAAACATGCAGAGACAAGAGGGAGGGAAGGAAAAAGATGGATGGCCAAAGAGGTGTTGCTGGTGTGTGCTGGACCGCTCACTCTACCTGATGGAGACCTGACAAAGCTGTTGCCAGCAAGCCGAAACTGATACAAACCTTTGTTCAGTATTTAGATCAGCTGGAGGGTCAAATATTATGATTATACTCAGTTTTCTTTGTTGTTTTGACGAGGCAATATGTCCTGTGCTAAAAAAAGGAACTGTAGTAGCAATTTAAAGAGTAACTTTGTACATTTATTCTGTCATTCTTCATGCAAGCTGCTTTGTGTTGCAAAAGAGTAATCAAATTGATAAGTTTCAACTTTTTTGCTCTTAAGATAAGAATGTTTACTAAAGCTGAATATCTTCTTCCAGTTTTAGCGGAAAACATCTTGTTGGGAGGAACCTAAGTGGTCTGACAGACGTCAGTGAACAGTATTGATTGCTGTATTTCTCCCTCTGTTTGTCTTCTTGCGTTGGGATAATGTGATTGTTGTCCAGGCACGGCCCGGACTGGCTGGCTGGGCCCGGCTGACAGGCAGAATCATCTTCAGGCAGACTGATGGTTCTGGAATCTAATAGAAGGCAGCAGTGAGTTTCAGAAATAGCTGTTTATGCTTATCGGACAAACTGCAGCTGTAGTGTAATTATGTGGAGTTGGGGGTGAAGAGATGCAGGCTGGATGTGGGGGTGGAAGGCAGATGTGGCTCGTGGTGGATCGTACTCAGTGTGCATCCATTGGATCTTAAGCAAAGATCAAATGTAGTGGTCCCCAAAAGGCGGCCCGCTGTCTGAATCTGGACACGTTTGTTGTCTCGTTTGGACCCAGATCTGTTGTTAAATTTCAGTGGAATCAAATTATTTAAATTTAATTTTGTTTGCACGCTGTTTTTATGGTCATTTATTTTAATTGGCACATGTTTGTTTTTTTAGAGCATTTACAGTAAATTATCTGATATGGTTCAGCTTTTCTACATCGACTCTTTTTATGCGGCACAGATTTTCTAGCATTTATGGTAATTAAATTAGGTGGCACGGCTTTTCTAGCATTTACAGTAACTCATTTCACTCTGCACAGATTTTCTAGCATTACGGTAACTGAATTCACACAAGGCAGCTTTAATACAATTTAAGGTAATCCATTTTAGGTGAGAGAAGCTGCCAGCTCACAGAGAAGAATTAGCCTAAAAAGACAATATGATAATTGAAGAAAACTAGCATGGCTTTAATTAAAAGGCACTTCAAATATATACAGTATAGTGGTGGATGGGTGAAATGCAGAAAGCCAATTTCGCCATTGTATGGGAACATACAATGATGACAGTACAAAACACATTATTATTATTATATTCTGGACCTTAGAGAAAATTTATTTAGGCAGAAACACTGAATTTTAATTGAAGACCGCTGATGTTAAGTATTTTGGCCCTTGCAGCTGCTTTAGCAGTCTGCATATGCGTGTGTCCATGCACTCATGGATGTGTGAGTGATTCTGCATGCTCAGCAGATTATTCTGACAGTCTGCACGGCGACAGAGGCTCACAGATCTGACACATGAGAGGCCAGACAATGGCCAAGGACTCTGAGATGCTGCCTTTAGGCTCCTCAGGGGGAAAGTCACAGACTCACAGGAGTGCAGATTAGTTACACCGTCACTTTCTTTTAAAGCATCAGTCAAATAAATAGTTTAGAAAACTGTTATAGCAAGACAGACAGATATAAAAGATTATTAATCCCACGAGGACAGTTGTTTCATCTCAACGTACAGTAGAGTTAAAAAAATAAAAACATAGAAATTGTATCTGCAGCTTAAACTGAAGGAAAAGGAAGCAACAGGAAATAATGCTGGATCTTAAAATCCAACAAGTAAAATATTAAGTAAAAACATTAAGTGCATCAAACTTTTTAAAAATTAATCTTTGTTACTTTCTAAAGCTACACAATTATGTTACTCCAAAAAGCAAATTGCATTAAAAAATGTAATCTCTAAAACACTAAGTGTATTTATTTAAAAGACAGTCAACACGCTTTAATTAAAAGGTCTAATAATAATGATAATCAATACAAAAAGCACAGAGTCTGGTATTTTAAGTGAAAAATCATTATTTTAAATCATCTGGTAAGTATTAGATTTTTCGTATTGGAGTACTGAATACCTGTATTTGAATATTTGAAACAAATATTGGGGACACTTTTAGTTTGTTTTTTGTTTTTTTTTTCTTGTGGGGTGGCTGGACAATATGTGTTTTGTTGAAAGACAGCACTAACTGGTAAGACGACAATGACTGGAGCTTTTATTCTTTGAATTCAATCATTTTATTTAGACCTACTATTAAAAAAAATCGCTGTTGATCCCTTATAGGCATACCATGTAAAGTTTTTATTTGTTGTCTCTGACAAATAAGAAAATAATATATACAAAAAGACTAATTACAATTTAAAACCACATGATAAATACTATTACAGTAGTCCCTTGTTTGTCGCTGGGAATTTGTACCCTGATGACCTGCTATAAGTGAAAAACCACAAAGTAGGAATAGTAGTACAAGTAGCAAGTAGTAGTTTATATATATATGTATACATATATATATATACATATATTATATATATATATATATATATATATAT